TCCTCAGGAGGCTAAGGAAATTCAGCATCTCCACAAGGATCTTACCAACTTTTATTGATGCACCATAGAAAGCATCCTATCCAGATGCATCACAGCATGGTATGGCAACTGTCCTTCCCAAGACTGCAAGAAACTAATGAAAGTGGTGAATGCAGCCAGGTCAATCACGCAAACCAGACTTCCATCCATTGACTCCATCTGTACTTCCTGCTGCCTCGGGAAAGCAAATAACAAAATCAAAGACCCCTCCCACCCTGGCTATACTCGTCAGACAGATGATATAAAAGTTTGATTTTATGTGCGAATATATTCAAGAACAGCTTCTTCCCCACTGTTATCAGACTTTTGAAAGGACCTCTGAAATGTTAATTCTGATCTCTCTCGCTGCACCATCTCTGCGGCTGTAACACTGTATTCTGCACTCTGTTCTGCTACCCTGAAGCACTTTGTATGGTACAATCTGCCTGTAAAACACACAAAACAATACTCTTCATTGTATCTCGGTATATGCGACAACAATAAATCAAATCAATCAATCATGGAATACAGTCTGACAGCCTTTATTCTATCCCAAAAAGCTGTTGTTTTCTGGGGGTGGGGGGCATCGATTGAAAATTTGAGAACTTGGATTGATAGATCTTTATTGGGTGAGAGCAATAAGGGAAATGGAACCAGGAAAGGTAAATGTTGTTAAAATACAGATAAGCTTTGATCTAATTGAATGGCAGTACAGGTTTGAAGGGCTGAATGGCCTCCTCCTGGTCTTGTGTTTATAATAGTGTAGCAAGGCAGGAGCATAGTCTTCTAATAGTACAACAATCCAACTGTACAGCAGCATTACCAAAAAAGATAAAATAAATGCATCCCTTTTCTGCTATTGCAATCTTACTTGTTTCTACATTCTTTTGCAGTTTTAAGGTTTCCCATAACCCAGTATGATGGTTCAGTGGTTAGCTATGCTGCCTCACAGCGCCAGGGAATCAGGTTTGATTCCAGCCTTGGGTGACTGTGTGGAGTTCGCACATTTCTGCTCTTGTCCACGTGGGTTTCCTCCGAGTGCTCCAGTTTCCTCCCACAGTGCAAAGATGTGTAGGTTAGGTGGATTGTCCATCCTAAACTCCTCCACAGTGTCCAGGGATGTGCAGGCTGGGTGGGTTAGTCATGGGAAATGCAGGGGTACAGGGATAGGATAGGTCTGAGTGGGATGCTGTTTGGACTCGATGGGCTGAATGGCCTGCTACCGCGCTGTGGGGATTCTATGACAGCAGGGTGTTTCAACACCCAGGAAAATATCCTAGGAACCTTAGGGGTGGGGTGGCAGTGGAATTTCCCATCTCTGAATTTTAATGAAGATCAATCCCTGGGAGCCTCCAGACCTCAACACCCAGCTTCCCCTGGAGACAGCAAAAACTGCCGATGCTGGAGTCAGAGACAACACAGTGTGGAGCTGGAGGAACACAGCAGGCCAGGCAGCATCAGAGGAGCATCAGAAAACTAACTGAAGAAGGGTCCCGACCCGAAACGTCAACTTTCCTACTCCTCTGACTCTGCCTAGCCTGCTGTGTTCCTCCAGCTCCACACTGTGTTGACCCAGATTCCCCTGTTGTGTAGAATTATCATGGAGTCTTCAGGAATCAAAGATTAATTTTCAGAGCATGGCTGCCAGCTACTCAAGGAGAAAACTCATAGGTAGGCACATTAAATGAATGGTGCCTTTTGAATACTTTTGTTTATTATTACATTGCTGGCTGCAGAGGCTCTCTGTTAGTAATGCCTCAATTTTAAAATTCTTGTCCTTGCTCTTGAGAGCCTCCATATTGTCATCCTTCCTTATCTCCTGCAGCCCTACAGTTCTTTGAGATTTCTGTATTCCTACCTGTCTGACTTCTTGAATGGCCCAGATTTCTCTGCCACCAGTAATTGTGCCATCAGACACCTAGGATCCTAAGCTCTAAATCCCTCCCTAAATTTCTCTTCCTTTCTTTAATCCATTAGGAACCTGCCCTACTAACTGCCCTGACATCTGCTTATGTGTCAAATTTTGTTGTACAACACTGCTATGAAGAACGCTGGGATCCATATTACACTAAAGGGTCTATACAACTGCAACTAGTTATAATTCAGAAGGTGAGACAGTGAAGGATTGCATTGAAATCCAACCTTTACTTACCTTGTCAGAGACACCAGTATAAACATGCAACTCCAAACCAAAAATCACCATTGTATAGATAGGAACACAAGTGAATCCCCAATTAATAGCCACCATCTCAGAACATTTAAACACTTGAGATTGTTATTAAAATATTGCATTTGAGATACTTAAGGGTGGGACGTTTTATGATGAATCTTTCACAACTATGTCTGATGGAATGGTGTAAAGTCGATTCATTGGGAATATAACAGTATATAATCTACTTTCAGAATTATGACCAGATTGGCCTTCCTTGCTGGTAGATGGATGCAGTGAGCAGCAAGACCACACAACTCCTGGTTAATTCCTCCCTAGTGGGAAATGAGGTGTGTGTTTTGTGCAGGTGGATGGAGTAAGCCACTTGGTTGTAAACACGTTGAAAGACAAGCAACAATAGGTTCTAGCTGGGAAATCCTCCAGCGGCAAATAGCATTCTGACACTAACTTGGGTTGAGAGCCTCTCACACTGTGGACACATACCTTAGTGTAATGAATGGACCATACTTTGTCCTCTTCTTAAACTATCATGCAGACCATGCAACCATACCAAGGTCCCACTAGCAGCAACAAGATGATGACCAGAACATCTGCTTTAATGTTGTTGGTTGAGGAATGGATTTTGAACTATTAAGTTATTTTCTTATAAGGTAATATTAATGACATTATTATAGATAGTATACTACACCATGCAGACATTTCTTCCGATTACAAACTGGGAAGACTGAAGGCGCTGTCCTTGGTTACCATCACAAGCTCTGTTCCTTATCCGCTGCTTCTATCTCTGTCAGGCAAAGACCGAGTGACCACTTCTTAACACAGACTTTGAACACAGACTATCACAAGCAAATGTGATCAAGTGCTGTAGAAAGCAGAACGATGCCATTTTTTTCCAAATAGGGTTCTCTCCGCCTGACCGCTGTCTGAAGCTTAAACAGATTGTTTGCAAACCTGGTGTCTTATTAGAGACTAAACATCCACTTCCGCTCACTTCCAAGACCTTCCACTTCCATTTCCATCATCTGACACCACCCGTCACATACCATATCCTCTGCTGAAACCCTCATTTATCACAAATGCTTGTGCCTGATATCCAATGATCAAATTGAGCTCCCACTTGACACCCTCCATCCAAAGCAGTTCACACAAAACTCAGGTGTCATTACCTCAACGTGCAGCAAATCTTGTTGGCTCAGCACCTCAGTGCTCGCTGACCTATGTTGGTTGCTGAACTGATAACAACTCGCTGTTAAAATGCTTACATTCATTTCCATATCCCTGAAGGCCATGCCCTTATTCATACCTGTCATTTCCTCCAGCCCTACTAATCTGAGTCTCCAACACCTCTTTTGATCAGAAACCAAAGTAGAATTGCTGGAAAAGCTCAGCAGGTCTGGCAGCATCTGTGGAGAGAAATCAAAACTGCAGTTCTGAGGGAGGGTCACTCGACCTGAAATATTACCTCTGATTTCTCTCCACAGACCTTCTGAGCTTTTCCAGCAATTTTTGTTTCTCTTACTGATTTCCAGCACCCACAGTTCTTTTGGTTTTTACCTCTTTTGAAGATCTATCTTAACACCTCCTTTAGTTGGAGTTGTTGGTTAGTTTGCCGAGCTGACTGGTTTTCGTGCAAACATTTCGTCTCTCTTCTAGGTGACATCGTCAGTGCTGAGCAGCCTCTGTTGAAGCATTGTTGTTCTGTCCCGCTCTGAATTTATATGGTCAGGTCTGTCATGGTGGGCAGTCTTGTTTCTGGTTTTGTACCGTAGTGGTATGTAGATAGGGTCTATTTCAACATGTTTGTTAATTACATCAGTGGTTGAAAATAAGGCCTCCAGGAATTCTTGCGCTTGTCTTTGCCTCATTGTCCTAGTACTGTAACTTTGTCTCAGTCAAATTGATGTCCTTCTATGTCTGAGTGTATTGAAATGAGGGAAAATTGGTCATGCCGTGTATCCTGGTGTCAAGTTTCCTGCCTGTCTGTCCTATGTAGTGTTTCTCACAGTTGCTGCATGCTATTTTATATATCACATTTGTCCTGCTCATTGTGGGTATGAGGTCTTTCGTCTTTGAGGGTAACTGGCAAAGTGTAGCTGTTGGTTTGTGTGCTATCCTTATTTCAAGAAGTCGTAGGAGTCTTATAGTCAGTTCTGATGTGTTTCTAACATAGGGTAGGGTGGCCAGTGTGTTGGGGTGTACAGTGTCTTCTCGGTGTTGTTCGTTTGCCAGGCATGGGCGGACGAAGCTGTTAGGATAACCATTGTTTGCTAAGACTCTGATTAGGTGTTCCTCTTCGTTCTTGCGCAGCTCTGGCCAGACAGGGTAAGGATGGCAGTTTCCTTACCTGGTCTGGCCCACATGTGACTCAAGACCCACAGCAATGTGGTTGACTCTTAATTGCCCTCTGGTCAATTAGGGATGAGCAATAAATGCTGCCTAGCCAGCGATGCTCTCATCCTGTGATTGAATGTGCCTGAATCAAGGAGCAGCTCAGCAATAACTCCACTGCTTGATCTATGGACATATCTTGTTCTTATCCTTTATCTCCTTCAGATATCCCAGGTGTGCCAAAACCACAGCTTTAAAGTCTTAATATTATTATTATTATCTCTCCTGAAGCTTGACTGGTGTATCTGGTTTTGTTTTCTTTTCTCTCTCCCCCTCCATCTCTCTCTATTTAGGTGCCAAAAGGACAGGAATGTGGAACCTTCTGTCTGCGGCTCTGGCTGCAGCCCGGGGAGAAAAAGCGGGGGGTGGCGCTACCGGGTGCGGCCGCCATTCGGGGTCGGACGCTCCCGTTACCTAGCAACGCCCCAAACAACAACAACAAACAACAACAATGGCCAAGTTCGTGGTGGCAGGTGGGTCGGAGGCAGCTCCGTGTGAAATTAATCAAAATATGTAACAAAAAAAAAATTTAAATCGGCCTGAGCTCGGGTTATAGATTCGGTAATCTTAAATAACAGCTTTAATCTTAGAGAGGGCACGGGGTGGGGGGGGTGGTGGGTGGTGGTGGGAGATAAGGGGCAAAGTGGCCAAATAATAAGATCTTTTTATTTAAATTTATGAATGAAGTGTATTTTTGAAAGCATCTATAAATAAATAAAGCAAGTACAAAACAGGGTTTGCAGGAAATACTGTGGGATTTTGACACTCCTTATTACACCTTCAATCCAGTTGCAACAACAGCGACAGAAAAAGAAACAAAAAGGCACTTTCCTGAACATAAAAAGGAAACTAATTGCCTTCCCATTAAAGACATTGAGGGGATCTCGAAACCTCACAGGCCCTTGTTATACTTTGGCCAGAAAAGACCTTAGGCTGAGGTCTTTCCCCACTGCGCCCTGGGTTGTAATTGACTACTGGCCTCAGTCAAAACCCCTGACCTGGGAGTGAAATAACTCCACAGAGGCCAGTATCCTGTCGCCAAGTGACCTTTTATTTACAGTGGAAAGTCCTTGACACTGATCCAGCTCCCTCAGAGCCAGCTCTCAGAGTGAACAGGATGTCCGACACTCTTGCTTTTATCTTTCGGCCAGGGCTCCCTGTTTGGACCAGATTAACAGCCCTAATCAGGGAACCCATATTCTCTGATGCCTACCTGGCTGACCTCATTACAATCACCGCAAAGAGGAGGTGGTGGCAGGGGAGATTAATGGACAGCAAGGGTTTCTGTCCTGAATGCTCAGCTAAGTGGTGTTGACTGGAATGAAAAGGATGAGCGAGAGAATTGACATTTTACAATTTATGTGAAGAAATGCCAAGAAATAGCGTACTAGAACCACTCACAGCCTCTCAGGATCCCCAGAGGGTCTTTTAATTTTTGAAAAAGTCGGTTTAGTCCATGAGGTTGCGGGAAGGGGGAAAGAGCAAAAGAACTTGTTGATGAATTGGAGGAAACTCGTGTCGAGTAAAAGCACTGTCATGGACCACTTGAACTGAACAACTTGTTTCTGTGCTTCAGGCTCTACATTACTGTTGAGTTATATGTAGTGTTATAATTGAGGCTAATTTGCTCCCAACCAGGCTATAGTAATAGGATAAATAACCAAGTAAGTATGTTTTTTCTTAGTTGTTTAAGATTCATGCCAGCCCAGTGCACAAGGAGAATCATAGAATCCCAATAGAGGCCATTTGGCCCATCAAGTGGGCACCAACCATCCAAAGAGTATCACACTCAGACCAAGCCCCCATCCTATCCCGTAACTCTGCATTTCCTGTGGTTAATCCACCTAGCCTACACATCCCTGGACACTACAGAGTAATTTAGCATGGCTAATCCACCTAGCCTGCACATTTTTGGACTGTGGGAGGAAACCAGAGCACCCACACAGACATAGGGAAAATGTGCAAACTCCACATTGGCAGTCACCCAAGGCTGGAATCAAACTCGGGTCTCTGGTGCTGTGAAGCAGTTGTGTTAACCACTGAGCCACCATTTCTTTGTTCAACCACCAGAGGGGGCAGGCACTGGTTTAATGTCTGTTCTGACGCCTCCAGCCAGCATCTCCAGCAGTGCAGCACTGTCTCAGTACTGCTTTAGAGTGTCTGCCAGAATCTATGCCTACATCTCTAAAATGCAGCTTAACTGTGTGACTAGAAGGGAATAGTATTATTAGTCATAAATAACAGATAGCTCAGCAAAGATCCTTCCAGTGCTCGTGAAACTGTATTCCAATAACTGTGACCCTGTGTGTCTTCAGGTTTAGGAAAGACAAGTAGAGAGGATTATTGCCTTTATGAGCTGGCCAAAAAGAAACAAAGACTTGAATTTTTTAGCACCTTGCACAAACTCAAGATATCACAAAATGCTTAGCAGCCCCACTTTCAAAGTGTGGTCACTGTCGGAAACGTGGCAGATAATTTTCCATCCAAAGCTATATCATTGGAATAGGCAAAAACCTTTGAAGTGGACAATGTAAGTGGATTCAAGGAACAACTTGATGGAATGAGGGAGAGTGAAGGGTTTGAGGGTCAGTGGAGAGAAGATGTGTAGGGAGGTTGATCTGTGAAACTAAACAGCCACATTGGATCAATTGACTTTTTCCGTCCTATGGTGATGTTCTTGCAGCAATTTAAATATTAGATACACTTTGATGTGTTTTGGTTTTTGCAGGTAAGGCAAACTGCCCTTATTATGCCAAGGCAGAACTGTTGGCAGATTATCTTCAGAAAAACTTGCCAGACTTCCGAGTCTTTAAGATTGTCCAGCCACCTGACGATTGGCAGGTCAGTCACTGTAGATTGGAAAGCAGAGAAGCTGTTTCAATATTACTGAAAAAAAGTTGGCTGTATTTCAGATCAGACATTTGTGTTACTTTGAATCTTATTGTTTATGAAGTTTAGTTGGTGCACTTTACTTGGTGCCAGTTTTGGTACTGAACACAATGGAACAGTGATATACTTAAAAGGAGTAGGTGAGATGAGGCTGTAGTGGATCCAAGATCCTGAAATTCTGAGTAATTCAGGCACATGGAAAGAACTAAAGCTTGGGGCAGCTGCCACCAAGGTGCAGTGGGGAAAAGAACACTGCCTGAGGTCTCGCTGCTGAAGTTAAATGGGGGTCTGAGGAAGGGTCACCGGACTCAAAATGTTAACTCTGATTTCTCTTCACAGATGCTGCCAGACCTGCTGAGCTTTTCCAGCAACTTCTGTTTTTGTTAAATGGGGGTCTGTTCAGTTATCAGACCCTCCCGGTACCTCAAATATATGTAAATATAATCTTGTACAAGGAAGAGATGCCTTTGGTTTTGTTTGTCGGATAGGGTCAAACCCCAATGTTCGTTTGTTTGTTTTCTTGTACAGAACTGAAGTGCTTTAGTGATTAAGTATATATATAATTTAATGAATAAAGTATATTTTTGAAATCTAAAACAAAATGTCCATACTGGACCAAATAAACAAAATTGGAGTTGAATGCCATTTTGTAATGTTTTAGTGGCCCTGTTGTCTTTAAAATAATTTTACAACATATAAAGGCAATTTTTCTAGGAAGGAGCCATAATTCAACATCCTGTCTTTTCTCTTGCATTCCAAGTTAGTATGGAGCAATAAGATGAAAGTCTTCCCTCTCTGCAAATTGTAAGGTCTCCTTTGTGTACCTTTGGTACAAATTGCCACTGACTGTAAGTGTACAGAACTGTTCACAAGCTTTCATAAAATTTCTTCAGAAAGCTGAGGTGGGAAATATCATCATTGATGACTTCAGGGGGCATTTTTCAGAATTTTGCAATTTAGAAATTGATACTCAAGACGCTAAGGTTGAGCAGTTTTAATACCGCTCCATAAATTCTGATACTATATAAATATATATGTATTATTTCTGATCTGTTATGGTAACAAACTGACATTACAGTGTCAGAATTTATATAGGTAGATGTATTCAATGTATTTGTAAGTTCTTGCTGCAAGTTTTAAATCATAACATCGTTAACATACTGGCCAAATAATCTCACCCTATGCCATCATGGACAAAACAACCCACTTGATTGGCTGCCCATCCATCATCTTAAACATTCACTCACTCCACCTTGGCAGCAAAGTGTACCTATAAGAATATCTATAAGTGTGTACCAAGATACGCAATGTTCTCTGTCCCAGTCAAAAACCAGCACAACACCTTTTTGAAGGCATGCAGAGTGTCATCTATCAGCCAGCACATTCCAATGACTTGCGGTACACAAGAACTAGCCGCTAGAGAAGTACAACCATCTATGAGAAGAAATGTCATATATGGCATTGTCCTTGAGAATCTTTGAGACTTAAAACCCCACTTACATGAGTACCAGTATATGAAGGTGGTGATTGCCAGGCAAAATTGTCAAAGTCAATATTTTACAAGGATCCAAAGCGCCTTCAGTTGTTCTGAACTTCGTTGTTAGTATCACGGTATTCATTAATATTCCAGCTACTAAGTTATTTTAAATACAAGATGATTCTTCAAGCACAGGGTAAGAACTAACTTCACCATATGTAAGATGTGACTTTTGAGCGTGCTGGAAAACTGGAAGAGGAAACAATGTGTTCAGTGATTTGCCTAGGCAGCCAAGAATAACCAGCCTCCCATTTTTCATTTTAGTGACAAAAGCCTCACTGTCCGAGATCATATTAACCCCTTAATGATAAGTCCTGGTTTGCATTGCACTATGACTCAATAGAATCATAACTCTTGTAGCCATACTGTGCCACTTGGAGGAAGTATCAATAGGAACAAAGGAAGCAGTTCACTGAAACTTCCTCAACACCATCTCTCAAATACACAAGTTCTTTTTTTTAACTTTTTCTTCTTTATCTCTATATCTGAAAGTGCTATCACATACGCCTGAATGGCTTTTCCCACCATCAAATTATGTGTCAACCCAAGAGTTCTTCCACCTTGTAGGACATAGGTAGCAGCTGCATAGTGTTAATTGTATATGAATTGCATCTTTAATTGAATTCAGTGAACGTAAATGTACAGAACTGTCCATAAGTTGTCACGGAAATTAATTCAGAAAGCTACCAAGTATTGATGCCTTTTGAGATTACTTTATGCAATAGATCCTCAATGAAAATTATGGTTGGATTCCTTGAAAAGTGCAATTTTAGGTCAAGCAATTTCAAGCAAATCAGAATTTCCAATTAATACAGAAATAAAAGCTGTAGTTAGGTTGTGTGGGACCTATAAAGCATTATATTGTCTCAGTTGAAATACCTAACATTGCTAAATTCCTGTATTGCTAATTGAAATAACTTTCAAAATAATATAGGGAGGTTGCAATTATGTGAAGGGTCAGTGACTGGCAGAGGCTATGAGCTGAAGGCTCGGCGACAAGAGGGAGGGTAACCCCACCTTTAGTTGAGGTCAGGGCACTGTGGGCTGGACCAGTCTTTAGGCAAGAACTCAGAAGAATTTTTTAACAGTATGCATTATCTTAGCAACAAATATCTGCATTTGACTTTGAGAATCAAGAAGTCTATGTCTTCATGCTTGTCTCTCTCTCTCCCTCTCTAGCCATGGCTTCAAGCATTATGTCAAAAAAATGGCTGGGTACATCATCGGTCCCCGATTATATGGCGAGAACTTGTGGACCGTGGAGGAAAGGGATTACTATTGGGTGGATTCAATGACTTTATGGAGTATGCACAGGTAGGATTTATAAAACACATACTCCATTTCCCCAGGTTCCATTTGAAAGTTGGACATGGAACATCAGAATATATTAATATTGTGTATAAGTTGTGTTACGAAACCAGACAGAATACAGACTTGGAGAAAACGTATGCATTCAAGTCACTCACTAGTCTATGCTAGTGTTTATTCTCCACAGAAGCCTCCTCCCATCTTAGTTCATCTAATGCAATCAACATATCCTTCTATTCCTTTCTCCCTCACTTATTTAACTAGCTTCCACTTAAATGCATCTATGTTGCACTGTTCAACCACTCCGTGTAGCAACAAATTCTACAATATTACCCCTTTGAGTAAAGATATTTCTGCTCGATTCTTTATTTGGTACGTTAGTGATTGCCTTACATTTAGGACCTGTCATTCTGGATACCCAAACAATTGGGAAGTGCTCTCCATGTTCCTCTCCTATCAAGCTCCTTCATTATTTCAAAGACCTCTAATCTTAGGTCACCTCTCGGTCTCTGTTTTTTTTTGGAGAAAAGAGCCACCAGCTATTCAGTGCTACATAAAGTTGATATAATTTTAGATAAATTCTGAAGAGATCAATGTTCACGTTACATGATGATGTCACTTACAGTCTGTGAATGGAGACAAGGCAATCTAGTCTAGTTTTTGGAGAGAGTTGTATGTACCTGCTCACTAAGGTCTTAGAAAATATGTCTGACCAAATGTATTCATATTTATTCCTATCATGCAGTAAACCTTCCTATATAAGAACAATGCCTGTTCTGTAGATACTCAACAGTGCTGTATGCTTTAATCACTAGATAGGTCCAAGGTCAAAAATCACACAACACCAGGTTATAGTCCAATGAGTTTATTTGAAAGCACAAGCTTTCAGAATCTTACTCCTTCTTCAGGTGTTAGCAAGAGAGGTAGTATCAGATACAAAATTTAAATTGTTAAAGATCAAAGGGTCACACCACTGATGAGGATGTACTAAACAAATTTCAGATGCTGTTAAATCTTTAATCAGTTAGAAGATTTTAATTGATTAATATGTATATGTAAATCCCCAAATTCCTTTGAAGCCACTGTCCTGAGAGAACTAAAGGTTTTATTAGTGCAAAGAAGAGGTGACATTTTAGGTCAGACAACGCATGTTAGGTATGAGGCCTTGTTTAGAATCTGTTTGTGTTTTGGTTTGGACTCAGATTAGTTTTATTTTGAAAGTAGGAGTTTATAAAACACCACATTGCAGATACATTCTATTTTGTTCAAAAAACACACAATTTATAGACAGTCAGTCAAATACAAATTCACCCTATAGATTCACGTGTGTGTGCTTGAGAGACAGTGTGTGTTAATTAGAGAGGATCTGCGTGAGAGTGGTTTGTGTGTGTGAGAGACAATGTGTATTTGAAAGAGGATCTGTTTGTGTGTGTGTGTGTGTGTGTGTGTGTGTGTGTGTGCGCGTGCGCGCACACGTATGTGTATGTGTGTGAGTATGTTTGTGTATGTGTGTGAGGTGGGAGAGAAGATGGACAGGTTGTGTCAAGTCAAGGAGGCAGGGATGAGAGGGAGGGTTGGACATGGGCTGTGGCCAGAGGTGGGGAGATTTTAAAACTGGTGAAATCCATGTTTAGGCCATTGGGCTATAGGCTCCTGAGGTGGAATATATGAGGTGCTGCTCCTCCAATTTGCGGGTGGCGTCATTGTGACACTGGAGGAGGCCCAGGATGGACATGTCACCCAGAGAGTGGGAGGGGGAGTTAAAATGGCTTTCAACCAGAAGGTGTTGTTGTTTGTCGTGTACAGAGCACAGATGCTGTACAAAATGGTCTCTGAATCTCCACTTGGTCTCACCGAAGTAGAGGACGCCACATCGGGAGCAGCGGGTGCAGTAGACCATTTTGACAGATTTGCAGGTGAACATGGAAGGCTTGTTTTGTGCCTTGAATGGAGGTGAGGGGGGAGGTGTAGGGGCAGGTGTGGCACTTCCTGCGGTTGCAGGGAAAGGTGCCATGGGTGGTGGGGTTAGTTATGAGTGTGGAGTGGACGAGGGAGTTGCAGGGAGAGCAATCAAACCGAAAGGTAGATAGGGGTGGGGAAGGATCAGATTGTAGGTGGCGGAAGTGGCGGAGAATGATACATTGGATGCAGAGGTTGGTGGTGTGATATGTGAGCACAAGGGGTATTCTGTCTTTATTTTTGTTGGGGGGTGGGGATGTGAGGGCAGAGGTGCGGGAAACGCAAGAGATGTGGTTGAGGGCATTTTCAATCACCGGAAGGGAGAAGTTACGGTCCTTGAAATAGGATTCCGCTTAACTGAACTCATCCTCATCCTTAACAACTTCTCCTTTAACTTCTCCCACTTCCTACAGTCTAAGGGGGTGGCCTGGGCACCCATATGGGCCCAAGCTATGTGGAACAGTCCCACTTCCTCCGCTACACTGGCACTGTGCCCCACCTCTTCCTCCGCTACATTGATGACTGTATCAGCACTGCCTTGTGCTCCCACAAGGAGCTTGAACAGTTCATCAACTTCAGTATTACCTTTCACCCCAACCTCAAATTCACCTGGACCATCTCCGATACCTCCCTCTCCTTCCTGGACCTCTCCGTCTCCATCTCTGGTGACCACCTTGAAACCGATATCTATTTCAAGCCCACTGACTCCCACAGCTACCTAGGCTAGACCTCCTCTCACCCACCTTCCTGCAAAAATGCGATCCCCTACTCCCAATTCCTCCACCTCCGCCGCGTCTGGTTCCAAGATGGGGCATTCCACTCCCGCAACTCACAGATGTCCTCCTATTTCCTGTCGTTATAGCCTCTCAGTTCCAGCTTCATCTCTATAAGTCATCTTTGCACTTTCGCCAATGCAGTGTATTGAACTATTATTCTATTCTAAATGTGGTATGCAAAAGTTCTCTATAAATTCTACATAACTTTTCTACTTTGAAGTTATATTCAAGAAAGGAACCCCAGCGGTGTCGGTGTATTTTTAAAAAAAATCAATTTGCTATCCTGTGTTGCTAGTTTTAATGATTTGTATCTCTACTCTATTTGGAACTTGTCAGCCATTTCCACACCCATTATGCAAATTTGTTAACATTTCTGTTGTATTTTGTTGCAGTCAACCTTAGGATTAACTTTATCCACAACTTTGGAGTAATCTGCAAATTTTGATATTGTACTTCATCCTCATAAATTCAAATTATTTAAGTAAATAATGAACATCGGCAGTCCCAGCACTGAATCTTGTGGAACACCATTTCCCACCTTCTGCCATTCTGAATAGCTACTTTCTCGGCTTGCTGTTCTTTTAGTCTGACTGTTATCCATTCTGTTACTTATCTCTGATTCCACATGATTTAACTTTATTCATGAGTCTGCCATGTGATGACTTGAGAAAGTCCATATATATTGTATCCACTATATTTCCCTTGTTCATTCTTCCTGCTACTTCTTCAACGAAGCCAACACAGTCAATCAGAAATGGCCTTCCTTTCTAAATTCCATCTTGATTATTCTTTATTACATTTTTGGTTATTAGTATGTCTTCATAAAGTTATGTGACAAAGATACTTCAACCAATCAATTTTGACCAACCATGATTTCATTGAATGGCGGAACAGGTATGAGAGGCTGAATGGCCTACTCCTGTTCCTGTGTTCCAAACCCCAAAGTTCTTATTGATCTGGTGTATAATTTTCTCCAGTAGTGGCTTGCTTAATGTTTTCTCACGCCATTCCATAGTATGCTGTTATAACAGTGCCAGAAAAGATTTATAGAGAGACTTTCACTTATATAGTCTCTTACATCATTAGAGCATCCAAGTAATATTACAATGTTACTTTTGAAGAGCAGTGACTGCTTTAATGCGATAAATGTAAAAGTCAATAGGCATAGAGCAAGGACGCACAAACAGTGGCAGAATCATCACAGAATCCCTACAGTGTGGAAGCAGACCATTTGACAATTGAGTCCACATCAACCCTCCAAACAGCATCCCACCCAAACCCTGCATTTACCATGTCTAACCCACCCAAACTGCACATCACTGGACACAAGAGGGTAATTCAGCACAGCCAATCCAGCTAACCTACACATTTTTTGGACTATGGAAGGAAAGGGGCAGAAAGTCTGAACTCCACACAGACAGTTGCCTGAGGCCAGAATTGAACTTGGGTCCCTGTTGCTGTGAAGTAGCAGTACTAACCCCTGAGCCACCTGTGACATCCTGTGGTGATGTGATAATGAGCAAATAAACTTTTAGTGACAAAAAAAAAATTACAGGAGAAATTCATCAGGTAGCAGCATCAATGGAGAGAAAACACAGTTAACATTTCGAGTCCAGTGACCCTTCTTCAGAATTAATAGCATTTAGGCTAAAGTGGTGCTTTGATTGATGATGGGATGGGGGAAACGGTGCAAAGGAGTGAGAGGATAGATGGAGACGGAGCCCAGAGCAAGAGAAAAATGTAGGCAGTCAAAGAGATGGTTGATAGTAAGCCCGGGAGGAAGAAAAGCTAGACAGATGATAATGGGAGCTATGAGTGGGTGAAAATGGGTTGGCTGTGCTGAAAGCAACCTATGTCATGACAGGGCATGAAGTGTGGGGGTGGGTAAAAGACATGGAAGGAGGTGTTCAGACTCTAAAATTATTGAACTCAATGTTGAGTGCTGAAGGCTGCCTGGTCCCCAAGTGGAAGATGAGGTAATGTTCTTCCAGCTTGCACTGAGGCTCACTGGAAGATTGCAGCAGGCCTGAGATAGAAATATCGGCATGGGAACATGGTGGTTTGTTGAAGTGGCAGGCAACTGGAAGCTTGGAGTCATTTTTACAGACAGAACATAGGTTTTCCGCAAAGTGGTCACCCAGCCCAAGTGTCATTTGCCCAGTGTAGAGGAGACTGCACAGCGAGCAGCAAATACAGTAGACTAGATTTAGTGAAGTGCCGGTAAACCTTTCAGTAGTGTTGATTGAGGGAATAAGGTTGGTCAAAGCACTGAGATCATCCTCCTGCATTTCTCAAGATCATTTAAGTCTGTTTGAGAGGGAAATGGGGGCTCAGTTTAAAATCTTATCCAAAGCATGGCATCTCTTGTTAGTGCACTTTCCCCTCAGTTCTGCACCGTGTGTGTCAGATGAGATTTTGTCTTGAAAGCCCTGGAATAGGATTTGAACTATACCTCACTGAGGCAAGCTGGACACAATGATTTGACAAACAGGGGTGAAAAATAGGCAAATGTATTATTCTCTCAGAGAAACCTGGGTAAGGCAACCACTGTACTTGTCTGCTTGTTTTAACTTTAGGGTTATTATGGTTTTACTTCTGATATGATGACTACACTTATGCTCAAGATTGCAAAGGAAAACTTGAAGACTAACCAAAGTGAGCGTGAAGAAGAAGCACTTTACAGGATTCAGACTAAACCAATGGCAATCTGGATTAGTGGGTAAGTATTTGTTTTCTGTCATAGTCATCACTATTAATCTATTTTTCTAAACTTCTTCAACACATCTGTCTCCTAATTGACCATTGAACACTTTTTACATTTATGAATGTTTGCTTCTCTATATGCGCTTCGGTTTTTGAGTGAGCGCAACCTTCTGGTCGCCATAATTGTACTTTTATTATTTATTTAAGAACTTACAAGCCTCAGCCAATGTCAAGCCCTGTTTATGAAACAAATTCTTAATTTGTCAGAAGACAAGTTCCACTTCTTCAGTCCAATTGTTGAACAAATAATCCACTGAAGCAATTCAACCCCTAATGAAACTAATACAATTAACAATTTGCTTCAAAGTTACAAATCATTTCCTTACCTGAAGGGTGATTTAAAAGTAACCTTTAAAATTGTGAATGGATATAATAATTTAGACATAGAGATGAATTTCTATTTGTGGAGAATCCAAAACCAGAGGCTATAACACTTCTCTTTAGAGGAACCCTTGAGACCGGGGTGAGTTTCTTCCACTCTGAAGTTATGGTTCCTGGTAATTAAATATCTGACGTTAAATCTGCACAACATGCCAGAGGTGGGAAAGATGGTATTTGATGAGTTGTGTGGTTGTGATACTTGAATTTTTATAGGCCCTTTGCATTGCCTTCCATCTGGGCCTGTTATGGATGCTTCTTCTCCATATATGTGTATAAAAGGATAGACATAAACAAATCTAATCTGGAATTGAGACAATACCTATGTACCCAGGGAGTGGTTAGAATGAGAAACTTGTGACTGCATTTGCGAATAGGGTGAATAGCTTAGACAAATTTAAGGGGAAGTTAGTTAATCCATGAGAGAGAATGGATATGTTGATAGACATAGATGGATATGTTGATCGGGTTCAATGAAGTTGGATTGAGGGTAGATTGTGTGGTGCATGAACCTTGAATCAGATTAATTGGGTTGAGTACAAAGAATTTATAGCACTGAATAGACTGGCAATTCTTTGTAATTCTAAGTTTTAATTGTACAAAAGATAAATTCACAAATTTAAAATATATATCCTTTATAACGTGTATTCTCAAGTCAAATTAGCGAATACATGACAATTTCATTGCAGCATTATTTTCCTCACGTGATAGTTTGCAAATGTTAGAGAAATATATATGCACTGGATGGAAGCAGAAAGTGGTCAATGGGGAAAGACACTGACAATTTCTTTTAATCTGAACTTTCAAACTTTGCTCTTGTATTACTTTCTCCAATTCCTAATGTAATCCTTAAGAAATCTTCTGACTGCTAGATTTAAAGAGGAATTCATGATATTCTGGAGTTTGTAGATTGTTGTTGTTTGTGAGAAACTTCACTGTCTATATTACAAGGGGGAGCCCATTTCAGAACTACTGTTTTGGTTACAGGGTTGTAATGACGTTGATATTGTGGTGCTATTTTTGGGCTTGTATATTGTTTTCGTGATTAATGTTTAAAATACATTGTAATACTACTATAGCTGCTGCCTCTCCCTCCTTCTCACAAAGCAGGTGACTCGTGTATGACTGCTTGTTCCCCTATCCAATGTGTTGCCCAAGAGACCATTCTCATGTGTCTGATCACACAGTCAGTGTGATTGCACCTAGGCTTATGTCCCCTCGAGTAGAGGAGAAAAAGGCTGATTAAACTCAAGGGCTTGCTAGGACAAATTGACAAAACTGTTTCATCTGGCAGGATTGTCCAGAACAAGAGTCCAGAAAATGTTCAGGCAGATTAGGAAAGCTAATAAATAATAAATAAAATAATATATCATGAGGGGGAAGGAAGTAGGGAGATTATTCTTCAGTTATACCAAGTATTGGTGAGACTGCATCTGCATTGGTCAACTTATTTCAAGAAGAATGTAAATATGCTGAAGGCAATTCAGGGAAGGTTTAGCAGACTAAGACCTGGAAGGGTAGGTTGTCTTATGAGGAAAATTTGGACAGGCTAGGCTTGTATCCACTTGAATTTAGAACAGTGAGAGGTGACTAGATTGAAACATATAAACTCCTAAAGGGTCTTGGCAGGGTAGATGTGGAAAGGATCTTTCCCCTTATGGGAGAATCTAGGTCTATGGGTCACTGTTAAAAGTCAGGGGTCACCCATTTGAAACAGGAATTAGGCAAAGTTATTTTCTTTCAGAGGATCATGAGTTTTTGGAACTCTTGAATGGAGGTGAAAATGGTGTGGAAAAGAGTACTTGGATATTTTTAAGACATAGATAGATTCTTGATAGGTTATGGGTTAAAAATGTTATCAGGGATAGGGTGGAATGTGGATTTGAGGTTATAATCAGATTAGCCATGGTCTTATTGAATGGCAGAGCAGGCTTGAGGGGCTCAATGGCCTATTCCTGTTCCCAATTTGTATGTTTGTGGAAAAACTTTAAAATTAGAGCTAGCTCATGCAGGGATTATGTCCTGTAACATTTCCTCACATAATGGGTAGTGAAATTTGAAACTCTTTCCTCCAGAAAAGCTGGAAGTCACTTGAACATTTCAAAGCTGAAAATGATAGATGTTTATAAGTAAGAGTATTAAGGTTTAAGCAACCAGGACAGCTAAATGGGATTGAAGTTTCATTCATCATGTAATTAAATTGTGAAACAGGTTCTCAAAGATGAATGGTCCCCTACATTTGAAGCACAAGTTATTGTCAAGTGATCAAGAGCAATGACCCTGGCTGAACTCCCCTCACCCAAACCCCAAATCTTTCACCAAGTTCCCCTTCCCAGCCTGGGAACATTGAAGGCAGTTGCATTGTTCCTTCGGTTGCTTCCTACGAGATTTGTTAATCTAGGGGTCAAACGTCTAACCTACATGATATACACAACTCAATACCACACAAAAAAGTGAGCGTTAGCCATTGCTAAAGAAGCTGACCATATAACCTGGCTCTAGGCCCGAAACGTCAGCCTTCCTGCTCCTATGATGCTGCTTGGCCTGCTCTGTTCATCCAGCTCTACACCTTGCTATCTCAGATTCTCCAGCATCTGCAGTTCCTACTATCTCTCCTAGAAGCTTCAGTCAGTTTATGTACATACAGAACAAGTACTTTTCCAGCAAAAGTAGCAATAGTTCTCAATACTCTGTTTAAATAATATGTGACACATAGCTATGGAGCCTGCTGGGCATAGAATGCTGATTGCATAGATTTTACACAGGTGAGTTCATTCATAATCCTTGGTCTCTCCTGTGCCTACTGAACCACCAATGTGTATCAAGCCTGCCTAATTAGGGGTTCCTCTTACTCTTACTTTCTACATAAGTATTTGGTATGTTGGAAGGATTTGCAGATTGATATTGAACATGTTGAGCAAAATTATGAAAACACCTTCCTTGACCATCAAGTCCTGGAGTGGGACTTAGAGATAAGAATGCTATTCTCTGCCCCGCAAGAGCTCCTTCCATCCATGGTACTTATTAGTAAATGTAATCATGCAGATCAGCTACTGTTAGAGTAAAAATCACTCATGGAAATAATCAATAGACAATGGAAGATCATTTACTTAGTTCACTTACATGATTTACTTCATATTTTAGAGCATTGTGTCCTGCGTGTACTAATCTGATCCCTACCTTGCTAAATGGAGAGTTGTTTGGTCACAGCCAAGGGCTCAGCTTACATCTGCTACACATTGATGGTTCCCTAAGTCTTTTACAAGGCTTACAAATGGAGATTGAAGATATGGCCTGGCCTCTACTTCGAAAAGTAACAGTGCAAAATAGCCTGAGAAAGGCTTTCATGGATGCTGAGGTCATCATTCTTCTTGATGATGTTGTGCCAGAGAAGGATCAATCAGTTGAAGACTGTTACAGAGAAATGGCTGGTCTCTACCAAGAAATTGCAATTAAGATTGACACCTTTGCAAAACCCAGTGCCCGTGTGCTTGTGGCTGGTGATTATATCTTGAATTTGAAAACATACCTCCTGATGGATAGTGCATATGCAATTGATCACTGTAACTTTATAGCAGTATCAACTCAGTTGGAAGGAGAAGCCAAAGCACTGCTTGCCAGGAGATTGAATGTGAATCCAATGGGTGAGTATATTTTACTCTTTGTCGTCTCTTTTAAACCTCTTTGCTCCGTCTTACAGTTGCACATCTCCACAGAGTTTTAACCGTGGCTGGCAACATATCCCTCCTTTAGTCAAATAAAGAGGTAAAGATTCCCACTGTATTAACTTATGGCATTGAACACGGCTCATCCCTGACTCCTGCACTTGTGAACTATTAAATTAGCCTACTCATGGGGCATCAGTCACATTTTTCAAGTATTCTTCCTCTGTGTAACAGATTTGGGAGCATTACTGTTATGTATATTATTGTTTACAATACAACAGATTGCTCATCAAAGTTCTAGTAAATCCCCATTATGAGTGGAATTTATTGCCCTCCCCAAAGCAAATCTAGAGGCAGGAGTGCATAGGGTGGGATTCTGATTCTGCCGCAGTAAGTCAGGACTATAAGACCCATGGATATTGCTGCCTTGCTGCTAGTTGAAGCTTTTCAGTGGGCAATTAATGCAGTAGGTGGTTGCATTCTCATTTACATGTTCTCATCGTTTGCCAGCACCAGATATGGTTCACTGAGAGCAGACCACCCCAACATTTGCTGCCAGACCCTCTCCCAGCCACGACTTGGTAGCTGTTGTGGATGGGCAAGAAGGCTCCCTCCCTCTCCCTGCCCACCCCGACTTCCCACCCTGAGCCCGTCATATTGACCTACCTAAGTCACTCACTTTGCTGACTGAAAAGTCCTGTGAGTGCAGGAATGAAGACTTAATAGATTTTGTAATTCACAACTATTGTCCTGAACTGACTGACTGCCAGGCAAGTAACGGGCAGGCAATTTTCCCCGTGCTACCCTCATTCAACATGGCTCGGAGTCGAGACTGGCAGGAAACCCACACAGAGGCTGGCGGCATGAAATTGCAGGCCAGCGCACTCCTGATCCAGATCCCTCACTAACATAAAAGCCCAATTAAATGAGTCAAAACCAATGATAAATTTAAATTAAACAGGATTGCAAAGTGCAGGATGGGAAAGTGAAGATGGAGTGGTGACCAGAGACAAGGAGGAATGGAGAAGAGAAATGCATTTATAATACTTTATTATAATTTCTGTAAATATTAACATTCCTTTTACTTCTATACCCCTCTCAGCTACTAATTACGTTGTACTAAACCCATCCCAAAACCTTTGTTAGCTTCCAAATAACCTGAACTCTCTATAATCTACTGAAAACTCATTATTTTTTATCTACAGTCCTTCACAGAAGACACTTTCAACATAGCCTGTTTTTCCTCTCAAGCACACTCCTAAACTTATCCCTCATAGACCAAACTCTCAAACTTTATTATCCAATATTTTTTCCAACCCTTTACTATCCTTTGGAGAACTTGCTATTGAATGTTCTATAATTCTTGGCAATTTTGAAAAGCCTTCTACTAGCGCACAATCAATTTTGATTTAACATATATTTAACATGTACCTAAAGCTCTGTTATCCTTTATATAATTTTACCAACCCTATTATCCTGTGTATAAAATGGGTATCACTCTAAATCCCCATAATCTATGATTTCTTTTGGACAGATTGACAACTTTCTATGTTGTCTTTTAAAAAAAATAACTCCAGATCCTTTTTTACCCTTTCTAGAGCTCAGTTGGTCAAGCCTCTGAGCATAAGTCCCACTCACTTCCTCCATAGCAACATTCACTGCTACATCACAATTGCATGCAATGCACTGGAAAAATTGTTGAGGGAGAAACAAAGAATGTTGCAGGTATCCCAGGAAAAGACAGGCATGGCTAAGGCCAACAGGATTCTCATAACAACATCTTTTAATGGAGGAAATAAGCAGAGTCAAAGGAGATGTTGCTCAACAATCCAGAGAAGTATGTTGGTGGTGGGGAAAGACTGGTTGAGCCATCCTGTTGTCAGATGGAGGTTTAGAGGGCCCTTCAAATACTCTAAGTATCATTCGCTTAGTCTTTTATTGCCCTGTATAACATACAATCAGAATTTTTCACTACACTCAAAGTATCACACCTCCAAGCTCTCTAACAAAAAAAACCCAAAGAACTGTGATGCTGGAAATCAGAAACAAAATCAGACAATACAGGAAAATCTTAGCAGGTCTGGCAGCATCTGTGGAGAGAGACCAGAGTTAACGTTCCGGGTCTAGTGACCCTTGTTTAGAACAGAACAAGTTCCCTAATGTGCATACTATAACACACTTTCATGCCTTCTATTGTTGTCTGTATGATATAGCTATTATTGTGCATAGCTCCATTGTTCCCGGTGTAAGCAATCTGTATCCAAAATCACTCTTTGACATGAACTGAATGGTCAAGCTTGCTTTGATCTGACTGCCATGTCTTCGAAGTTTTTGATAAAAGATAAATTGGTTAGGGCAGAAAGAATGTGCATTCATACTTTGCATGATGCTCAAACAGGATGCAGAAGGTAATTAATGATTCAGGCCATTGCATTGTTTACTTCTGAACAAGATTGCATGCAAACAAATTACAGCTGGAACAATGGGAAGTTGTGCGTTTGTAACTCAAAACAATACTAATTATAAGTAATATTTTAACCAGTTCACTGTTTATGATTGAATAAATGCCACAACTGCCTGCCTAGGAAAATGTTACAAATTGGAATCTGTTTAAGAATTTTGATGGTTTATGTATAGAATAATAGATATCTGAGAGTGAGTTACAAACTGGAATCAATCAAGCGATTCAAATGACTTATGTGTCCAATAACTGATATCTTGGAATGAGTAGCAGGCTGAAATCTAATTAAGGGGTTCCGATGATGTATAGAGTGATGAGACCTGACACTGAGCCACATTTAGAAATCTAATCAGAGGATTCATATGATTTATACATAAAATGATGTAACCCAAGAGTGAGTTGGGAGGAATCAATTTAATAAAGAGTTTGGACGACGTGAGAATTAAGTTCACAATATTTATAACGACCATCTGAACCCAAGATTAGATAACAGTCTAAGCTCATCCATAATATTTTTGAATTCTGATTGTATGTGATAGTTTTATTAAATTTGAGCTTTGTTTTGCTGCAGTAGTGGCTTTTGGGTATAAGTGTGATTTTGGCATTAATGCATCAATACAGAACAATGGATTTACTAGAACAGGAATTTTCACACTCCAGCCCATGGGTCATCTGTGCCTATGAGTGCAAATCACTTCTATTTCTAATTTATTTCTCACTTCAGGATTTTCTCATTGGATTTTCATGGGGCTGATCTTTGGAAAGGGCTGCCAATGCTGTTGTCTCTGTGGCAGTTAAATGTTAAATTGGATAAAAGAAAGAAAGATTTTCTGTTATATGACACCTTCCATGGCATCCCAAATCATTTAATGAAGAACCATTAAAGTATGGTAAATGATTAAACTGTTGTTGTGTAGAAAGCATAGTTGTCAACTTGCGCACAGCATACTCGGTCAACAGCAATGAGATAAATCACCATTTGGAATAAATACTGGTCAGGCCAGTGAGGAGAAATCCCCATCTCTTCTGTAAAAAGTGCCTGTGAATCTTTTATATCCATCTTAGAAGGCAGACGAGGCTGTGGTTTAATGTTGCTCTCAAAAGAAGGCCTTTTGACTATATAGCACTCCAGCTGCAGCGAGTGTCTGCCTGGAATTGGTGCTCCGACGTCTTACATGCAGTCAGCTGAGTAATGGTTAAGGACAACTCTAGTTGTTTGTAGCAAACTCTTGTGGCACAGTGATATTGATCCTACGCCTGAGCCAGGCATCAGAGAATCATAGAATAGGAGACCCAGGTTCAAGTCCCATCTGCTTTAGAGATGTGGAATAACATCTCCGACCAGCTTGATTAGAAAATATCTAGTTGTGACTAACCATAGTTCAAATGTAAGCAAATCTGTCGGGGAGGCGATGATGTAGTGATATTATCGCTGGACTGTTAATCCAGAGACCCAGATAACATTCTGGGGACCTGGGTTCGAAACCGCCACGGCAAATGGTGGAATTTGAATTCAGTAAATATCTGGAATTAAGAATCTAATGATGACCATGAATCCATTGTCAATTGTTGGAAAAACCATCTGGTTCACTAATGTCCTTTAGGGAAGGAAACTGCCATCCTTACCTAGACAACAAGGTGCAGGGCTGGATGAACACAGCAGGCCAAGCAGCAT